TAGCATTGTTCCGGCATATAATAACTCCTTAATAAATGGTGGCTCCTCTTTATTTTTTTGTGAAAGAAGTGAAGAAAATGGCTTGAGGAAGCATAAACTGAAAAATGTAATTGCTATATTATAATTACTGTATCACATGTAACAATAGAACCACAGGATTATTTCTATTTATAGAATGAATTTTGACTTTAAATAAAATCTAATTGGTTTCATATCAGACATGTAATGCCCATTGAATTAAATATTAAAGAGCACAATAGTTAAAAAATAGGTAAAATTTTATTTTGACAGAATAATGATCTCCATAGGTCTAATAAAAAATTTTTTCACTCTAATAAACCATATGCTTTATTCAATTACTCTTTCATAATTATAAGTCTATAAATTAAATCTTATTCCTTAAGCGGCACTGTTTCAAAAATCATGAGATTAACAGAATAATTTACATATAAAGTACACTCCTTTCCCCAATGGCTTTCACTTTTCAGGTCTTAAAAGCATTTTTTCTTTCTACTACATTTGAGAAAAAGATATTTGACTGATTTGTCTGAAAAAACACAGGCGGAGCTGTTGAGATTATCAATAGGACACCGCGTACTCAAGTCGCTCACAATCTTATAAAATAACTGAATGGATAATACAAATGTCCCATCAGGCTGTGTCTGGTGATTCACATACCTTGTCTTCTTGACCTGAATACTGCTACTGAGCTTTTCCAGCACATATTCACCAGTGTCGTGATTAATAATAAGCACACAGTCTTTCTGGTAAGGCCGCTTGTTCCCTTTGAACACAGTCATTGGTGGTGTGGACCCCTATATGGCACAAATAGTGTAAAGTTATCAAAACTAAGCACACCAGTTATGAATATCAAAACTGAATTTAAGGTGACTCTACCTAATCAAATATTTTATCAGAGAGACCCAAAAACAACTCCTGGTTTCCCAGGCAGAAATAAAGAAAAGGGAAATGATAATATAGAAAGAACCTATGACTCTACAACTGGTTCTAAGTAATCAAGAAAGGTAACATAAAATTTTAAATTTCCATATACTGTTCTAGGGACTTGAAATGTTACAAATAACAGTGAAGTGTGAACTGAGAAAATGAATTAACCACTACTTGTGATCGAGCTTTCACTATGAGAAGTAAAACTAGTGAGAGGTCTCTAACATTTCCTTGTAACTGGAGAGTTCAGGGCTTCCCCCTCATGCCAAGTAACTGACAGAGCATCTTGAAAGGCAGCTCGTGATTCTGGTCAGCTCAGAGCAAGCACATCTGCCACTCACCTGCTTAGGCCCTTTGATCACAACTCCACTGCTCTGAGGTCCAATAACTACACCTTTAAAGCAACCATCTAGTCCTTCAGCCTCACCAGCACCACTCACCCCAAGGTCTGTGGGCTGCAGGGCAGGAGGCAGGAGGCAGCTGGCATTCTGTCAGATCCTCAACTTTTCATTGAGGGCTTTAACAAGGCTTCTGCCTGTAACACCTGCCCCCTCCCTCTCTGTCAATTATTCAACCTGCAAATCTACTCAAAGGTCCCTTCCTTAGGGAAGCCTCCTCTAAGGAGTTTCCTAAAATAAGCATTACATTTTCTTGTACTTAAATTCCATATTATAAACTCCACAAGGGCAGGAAATGTGCTTGTTTTCTTCCAGACTATATTATCAGTGTCTAGTAATACACACAGAAGGTGCTCAATTAATATTTGCTAAATATAGGATTAATCCTTTGAATAGAATCAAAAACTGTTTGGCTCCTCGCTCATACAGTAAAAATTCAGAGTAGGAAGAGACCTTAGGGACCATTTATCTGACCCTTTCGTTTTACATTTGGGAAAGTAAGGTCTATAGGGAGATGATGTAACCCACCAAAGGCAACAAGTGACGAAACAGCAGTCTGAGCTAGCAGACATGCAATTTTTCCAAAATACGAAGCTTCCCAGGCCTCCTTGTCCAGTGCCTCTTCGTTCTACCACAGGTTGGCAAGAACTCACTGTGTGCCAGGACAGGGCTGTGACATGCAATGACGCATGTTCACTGAGAGTATTTTGTCTAATCCTTTGGGGTTTATGATCAGTGTGCAGCCTTGGGCAAGACCTTACAAAAGCCCTTCTACGCAAGAGTTCTCAATTCAGCTTTTAACTGGGTTCACTGTCACTCAATTAGTTGAATGCTCTGAACTTCTGCTTTTTGCCTGAAACTATCAGCCTATATTTTACTATTTGCCATATACTATATGAAAGATGTAAGTCCTGCTCCTGCCCACCTGAACTCCTGTCTTGGCAGCGTCACACTCCTAAACTGTAACGGCTGTTTATCAGCATGGAACCTATGGCTTTTTTTCTATGGAGATGCTTGGGGAAAAACTATGCATGTTTAAAAAAGAGGCCAGATGTCTGGGTAGGATCGCTGTCTACTTTATGGCAAATGGGACCTTGGAGAAAATGACAAAGCATCATTTTTAATCGAACACCTAGGAAGTATGCATTCTATTCTACCCCATACCCTAAATTTCCTTTTTCCTTATGCTGACACCTCGGAAAATTAGGAATTTTTAAACAGGTAATCCAAACAGTAATGATACAAAACATGAGAATTCACTGTCATTCTACATTTTTAAAAAACAACAATGGAATAAACTTACAGGGATATGTGGCAGTGTAATTGTGACTTCATCTCCTTTGCCAACCTGAAGTTCTCCTTCACAGGAAGTATCTATAGACGCTGGTTTAAAATCATCTACAGGAAAAGAGGGGGAAAAAAGTATCCACCCTGTTACTTATACTAAGGGCTTTCTAGGCATTCACATTTAACAATTACTATTCTAATAAATAGAAAATACAAATAACGTAGAATATTTTTAAATACTGTTTCATTGTGAAAACTTCCCATATATAATAAAAAAGAGAACAGTGTAACAAACTCCTATGTATAACCATTATCCAGCCTCGGTCATTACCAACTGAGGGCAATCTTGTTTCATCTACACCTCTGCGTACTTTTCCTCTCACCCCACCTGGATTATTTTGAAGGAAAAAAAAAGCTAGAATGTATACACCATTTTATTAAGCAAAGATACTCCCTTCTCCCGAGTGACAGATGAAAATCAATGCTTATTATCCATTATACAGTGCTTTGTTGGGGTTGCTGTAAGATCACAAGCAGTAACATACTAATAACATTCTGTGATTGTAAAACCCTACATGAAATATGAAGCCACAGCATTATGTAAGCTGATTCCTTTCTGTGTAGGAACTGTCAAAATTACGACTTGCCACACTCAAGTTCCATAGCTTTAATAAAGATACTCCTGTAGCTGTTGGGAGTACAGGGCTGAACTTTATTTCCAAAGGTTAATCCTGCCTGTGTTTCTGAATTGCAATTTAAGCCCAATTTCCCCATTTTAATACCTGGCTGCCTCAAACTGCAAGCCAGGTGCATATGTAAAGTGTCTCATTTAAATTCCCTATTGCCCTTCACTTTACTAAAACATCAACTTAGTATAACTGCTCAAGAAATGATGGTCTTATCACATTCCATTATCCATATCCGTGTGAAAGAGCTGATCTGCTGCCAGTAGTTAGCATAGCAATGTAATGGCAGGGCAAGTGACCACACAAAGATGGAACTTCATTATCCAACACGCCATCTCTCTAAGAGTTGAGTCACATCTATTAGCTCCTTTGGCAAAAACACGTCTTAGCGTTAGCACTACAAAGACAGGAAACTGGGAGTCTGTGAATCATAGAAGGATGCTCAGTCAGCTAATTAGTAAAAGCCAAATCTTTACCCAGGACGCTGAGTGGGAGTGCCCTCCCTCAACAGAGTCTGTAATCACGTAGAAAAGGAAGGTCCAGCATAATGACTGTTTTGACATTCTTTATACCTGCTCTCTTCTGCTTCCAAACCTAGATCAAGCTTTAACTTACTCCAGGCTCACGAATTCTAATTTAATTCTTCACCTACAAGGGGCTTCGTCCTTAGTCAGTCAGGGCAGTTTAAGTGACCTCAAAAGACATCCAAGTCAAAGGAGATGCAGAGACTGGAGGAAGAAGACTGAAGGGGTACAGAGAGGATGCGGATTCTTTGGCTGCAAGAGGGAAGGAAGCGCAGTGTCTCAGGGTACCCAGAGCAAAGAAGGACCAGAAAAGAAAGCTAAGGAAAACGGGGGAAAAGAGAATGAAATAGGAGGGAATAGGTGAGGCTCATGAGCAAAGAGGAAGACTCCTTTAAACACGGAGAACCCTGGTGGGGTCATCAGAAAGGGGGTGGGGGCAGATTACAGGAAGAACTAGAGTCTGAATGTGGGGTCAGGTTTTTCGGTAATAAAGAGGGGGTAGGTCTGGCATAGATGAAGAGCTGGCTGGGGCGATGGAAAGAGAAAGGGGTCAATGAACTTCGGAAGAAGCGTTTGGGGCCATAAGGCAAAAGAGGTGGAGTGACGAAGGGTTTGGTTTGGGAAGAGTGAGTTTGAAGTGGGGTGGGCGGGAAGAAGGGAAAAAAATCGAAGTCCCAGAGAACCTGGGGTAAGAAAGAAGGGAGCTGACATAGGCAGGAGGTTCCCCGTACTTTCGGGAACTGAGGTTGACAAGAGGCTGCTGGAGCGCCGAAAGGAACAGCTGACTTACAGCGAATGGTGTGGAAGGAGGCTCGCGGTCGCTTTTCGAAGCTCTCCCCAAGTCGCAGGCAGTGTTCCTCGCGGTCTAGCAGCGGGTTCACGGTCCCGTTCATGGCCCCGCACGGGCCTCGCGCCCGGACCAGGGGTCTTCCGGCGCGGCCACGGTACCAGCTTCCGGCGCCGGCGTCCAGGAGAGCGCTGCTCCTGGGACACCACCCCGGAGCGCAGCGGGAATTCAACCGGCGCCCACCCGGCGCCGGAAGCAAGTCTCCTCCGCGTGGGGGTGGGGGAAGCCTTTGAGGAAGCAGGGCCGCGGGACTTCCGGCGTCGGGGAGGCACTTCTGGGTTCGTAGCGGAAGTGACGGAGGCGGTGCCGCGGCAATAGAATTCCGCCGGGATTCTGAAGTCCTCGACGCTGGTTTGTCCATGCTCAGGGAGTTTTTCGCGGCTGTTCCCAAATTCTGCTTCTGTAGCCTAGGCCTGAGTGAGGGCTAAATGCGCTCGGCCCTACCAAGTGAAGCTAGGGACAGGGACTGAGGAGGGTGAGGCTAGAGCGCGGCGGTCTAGATTAACGCGGGTCTGATAGCGAGTATGACAGGGTCTCCGCAGGCTGTCGCGGCCAGGTCGATCGAGTTTATCCCGAGTCTCCCGAGACTGGTAGATCCTCGGGACACTATTCTCTTCTTCTTCTGACGATCCACGCGTCACTCTTCTCTTCTTTCCCTTCATGCGGTGTTGGCGGTGCGAGGGCCTCGGTGCCTGGTTGTGAGAGAGCTTCTTACAGTCAGACTCAGGTCACCAGGGCGTAGCTCCATCTTCCCTGAAAGAAAACTGTGTCTCCGATCGTTAGGAAACGATGATCCCACTTCTGTCTCGCAACTGACCACCCGCATCCAATACGGGCAGCTCTTGGAGTTAAGTCACCGCAAAAATTAATCAGTATTTTCTCTCCAAGATTTCTGTCATTTCTCGAGAGTGTCCTTTTTCTAAACTAAAGAGATTTATTTTAATGGATGACTTATTCTGGTTTGAAGTGCATGAGAGACCTGGGTCACTGAATGTCAGCCCTCTGATGGTGGGGACTTTGTCTTGATCTCCTTTGTGACCTCTCCTCGTGTAGCAGGCAGGGTGTGGTGTAATCAGCACCAGTAAATGTTTGGTGACTTGAGCTGTTTGGTGAAACAACCATTCGGGAACCACTAACCAGAACGTCATTCTTTTCCCTGCAAAGTAGGAATACAGCCTGGGCCTTGAACCCAACCCGAGGAACCACATCTGAGAAAACTCGGCCTATGTCTGCAGAAATAAACTTGGATTCCTCAAACTATTCAGGGATGGGGAATCTTCAGCAGTGTTAAATACATTACCGTCAACTTATGAGATGACATCTTTGCAAAGGAAAGGCCTGCAAGGAAGGATTCTCAGCTCTGAAGAAGAGGAGAAACTGAAAAGAGACCAGGTTTTGGTGTCTGACTTTAAACAACAACAACTGGAAAAAGATGCTCAAAAGAACTGGGATCTATTTTACAAAAGAAACAGTACTAATTTCTTCAAAGACAGACACTGGACCACCAGAGAGTTCGAGGAGCTCAGGTCATGTAGGGAGGTAATGTTACACCATATTTGAGCTGTCGTTCATTTAAAATGTGTAGGAGTGCTCGATCGAATTTTTATGGAGTGAGGTAGAGAATTTATGAAGCCTGTCAGAATGGTTTGTACCATAGAGAGAAATAGACTGGTCTCAGGTAGTTTTAGCAGTTCCCGGGTTTGTAATACATAGAAGAAAACTTTAGTGGGCATTTCTTTTTCTTTAAAGCAGGGGTGTCAAACTCATTTTCACCGGGGGCCACATCAGCTTTGCTGTTGCATTCAAAGTGCCGAATGTAATTTTCGGACTGTATAAATGTATCTACTCCTTAACTAGAGGTAAGGAGCTCAGCGCTGCTGCTGGGTAGAAACAAGGTAGAGGGCTGGGATTGGCCCGTGGGCCTTGGGTTTGCCACCTGTGTTTTAAAGCTATCCGAAAGCTGTAAATGTTAAATTCATACTGAGTAACTTCAGTGACAGATTCATCATGATGATGATGAGCACTTTACCATGGCCCTATTCTAGAACTTTACATCTGTAATTTAAGTGTTGTAATAGCACTGTGACATAGGCACTAGTGTGAACCCTACCTACTGATGAGATTGAAGCACGAAGCTGTTTAAGTGATTTGTTCAATAATAGAAAATGAGGAAGGGCGGAGTCTGGATTGAGTGCAAGCAGTTAAGTCTATTCTCTTAGCCATTATGCTGTGTTTTCTCCACACCAAACTGGCCAGTGTTGGACAACAAGCTGAGATATTAATTTTAGCTTTTGGTTATCAGTTCACTTATTTATTACCCCTTGGGACAGAGTTCTTGTCTTTCATGTTCTGGACCTTTAAGTTTGGTTTATTTCTTCACTACAAAAAATGTAGAGCCCTCTAACTTTGGGTTCTCTTTCCTCAGTTTGAAGATCAAAAACTGACTGTGCTTGAAGCTGGCTGTGGGGTCGGGAACTGTTTATTCCCACTTTTAGAAGAAGATCTGAATATATTTGCATATGCCTGTGATTTTTCTCCAAGAGCAGTCGAATATGTCAAGGTCGGTGCACGCTTTGTGCATTCTGTTATAATTCTGGTTTTTTAGATTTGTTTGACCTGCCCTCTATACCCATTTTCCTGGTTGCAGCTCTCTCCATGAAGTTAAGGAGCTATGATCATCATAAATGAACTTTTCCATTTACATATGTATATAATACGTGAGAAAGACAGCAGAAAAAGTGGAAATACCGTAATGACACCCATGTACTTATACCAAAATCAGTGGTTGCCAGCATTTTGCTGCATTTGCTTTATAGACTCCTCTTTGCTGAACTGTTGTAAAGTAAATTATAGGCACTTCACTACTGAACATGTCTGCATACGTCTTCAATGAGGATTTTCTCTCCATGACTACAAAACATATCTAATAAAAATAACTGCAGTCCTCTAATATCCTTAGTACCCAATCCAGTTTCAGGTTTCCCCAAATAGTCCCAGGTATCTCTTATAGCTATATTGAATCAAGGACTACATCTTATACTTCATTACACATCTTGAATCTCCTTAGCCTATAATATTCCGGCCCTTCACGTTGACCTTTTTCTGTACCGACATTGAGTTTTTGTTTGGAGAATAAGTCATTTTTCTGTAATGAGATCTTACATTTCAGAATGTTTTGATTGTTTCTTTGTATCATTGTTTAACTTATTCCTCTATCCCCTATTTTTGCTATAAACTAGAAGTTAGATTTAAGTTGGGTAAATTATTTTGGGCAAAAATAACAGGTGATGTATCTCTCATATTGCATCATGTCAAGGGGGCAATAATGTCTGGTGATCTTACTGTAAGTAATGCCAGTTTTGATCTCTGGGTTAAGGTAGGAACTACCTAATTGTTGTACAAATATTTGCCTTTTGCCATTAACAGATATGTGGGGGATACTTTGGCAACATGCAGATGTCTAGTTTTCCATCAGCTTTTCACAGTTATGGCATTCATTAGACTTTTTGTGTAATATTGGTATTACATTGTATTATAACTTGCTTTTATCATTCTATATTATATTTTGCAGTTTTTTTTTACTTTTGTCTGCAGTAAATTTTTTTTAACTTTTTTACAGTTGTCTGCATTTTCTCCCTACCACTTCCCCCAATATTGCAGAGCTTTGTATCTACCACATTTCATTTAGATGTTTTAATATTCCATAAAATGCGTATACCATACTTTAACAATTACTCTGTTGATATTTGCTTAAATTATTTCTAATTTTCTGCTGTTTCAAGTAGGGTTAATATAATCAGCATTATACACATGCTTCCGAAACACATGTACACATTTTTCTACACATTTCTGTATGTTGAGTAATGGAAAAAAAGAGTATACACATTTAAATTTTAATAGATAATGCTAAGTTTCCTTCCAGAAACTTAATAACAATTTATAATTTCACCAATAATATAAGGATACCTTTTACTCTAGGCCCTCAACATTTAATGTCAGTCTTTTTTATATCTCCCAATCTTATGGGCAAAAATATAATGTCAAAGTAAAGTTATATTTTACTTTGTTTATTCCTTATAATCATTGAGGGTGAAGTCTTTGTAATACGTAAATAAGCACTAGTTGGTTTTTTTGGTCTCTTTGGTTCTTTTGATTTTTGCATATGAATCCCTTCATTCCACATATATTTACTGAGGACCTAATGTGTGCCAGTCACTGTTGTGAGCATTGGGTTAAGTAGTGAACAAAACGGACAGAAAACCCCAACTAATATGGAGTTTATAGTGTGAATTGTCTGTTGATAATCTTTGCCCATTCTTCTGTCATTTTTGCTCTTATTTTTAGTATGTATTCTGTTGTATACATAATGTTGCAAACATTTCTTCTGGTTTTATTCAATGCTTTATTGTTCCATGACAAGATTTAAATTATGTCACATTTATTAGTCTGTTCACTTTGAGATGCTAAGGTTTTGTGTCTTGTTTAGTAGTTCTTTTTTTTTAAATTACATTTATTGATTTTGCTATTACCGTTGTCCAATGCCCTCCACCCAGCACCCCCCCACTCCCTCAGGCAATCCTCGCACCATTGTCCATGTCCATGGGTCATGCATAAAGTTCGTTAGCTACTCCCTTTCCTGTGCTTAACTTCACATCCCCATGATGATTCCGTAACGACCATTTTGTACTTCTTAATCCCTTCACCTTGTTTGCCCATACCCCCAAATCCTCCTCCCATCTGGCAACCATGAAAATGTTCTCTGTATCTATGATTCTGTTATGCTTGCTTGCTTTTTTTTAGATTCATTTATTGCCATTTTATTGTTCATATTTGTGACCTTTTTCTTTAAGTCCCTTTAAATTTCATATAATGGTGGTTTGGTGATGATGAGCTCCTTTAGTTTTTTTGTTTGTTTGTTTGTTTATATGCCCTTGAATTCTTAATAATAGCTTTGCTGGATAGCATAATCTTGGTTGTAGGTCCTTGTGTCTCATGACTTTGAATATTTCTTGCCAGTCTCTTCTGGCCTGCAAAATTTGAGAAATCAGCTGATAATCTTCCCTTATAGGTAACTAACTGTTTTTCCCTTATAGGTAACTAACTGTTTTTCTCTTACTGCTTTTAAGATTTTCTCTTTGTCTTTGAACTTTGGCATGTTAATTATGATGTGTTTTGGTGTGGGCCTCTTTGCATCCATCTTCTTTGGGACTCTTGCTCTTGTTGGACTTATATGTCTATTTCCTTCACCAAGTTAGGGAAGTTTTCTGTCATTTTTTTCAAATAGGTTTTCAATTTTTTGCTCTCTCCTCCTTCTGGTACCCCCATGATACAAATGTTGGAATGCTTGGAGTTGTCCCAGAGGCTCCTTACATTATCCTCATTTTTTTTTTTTTATTCTTTTTCTTCTTGCTTTTCTGACTGGGTATTTTTGCTTTCTTATATTTCAAATTGCTGGTTTGATTCTCAACTTCATCCCCTCTACTGCTGATTGCCTATAAATTGTTCTTCATTTCAGTTAATGTAGTCTTCATTCTTACTGGTTCTTTTTTATGGTTTCCATGTCCTTTTTTATGCTGTTGAAGTTCTCTCTGAGTTCATCTGCTTTTCCCCTAAGTTCATTGAAAATCCTTATAACCAGTATTTTGAACTCTGTATTTAGTAGTTTGCTTGTCTCCATTTTGTTTAGGTCTTTTTCTGAAATTTTGATCAGTTTTTTTATTTGGGCTGTGTTTCTTTGTCTCCTCATTTGGGCAGCCTCCCTGTGTTTTTTTCTGTGCAGTAGGTAGAGTTGCTATGATTCCCTTGCTTGGTAGAGTGGCCTAAAGTAGTAGGTGTCCTCTAGGGTCCAGTGGCACAGCCTCCCCATCACCCAAGCTGGCTACTCAAGGTGCATCCTTCATGTGGGCTGTGTATACCCTTCTTTTGTAATTGAGCCTTGATTGATGTTGGCAGGTCAATGGGAGGGATTTACGCAGGCTGATGAACTGGCTGTGGACTAGCTGGGACCACTGCCTACCACTGTGGAGGATCAGCCATTCAGGGGCCCCCTCCACAGAGCAGGACTTACTTCAACAGGGCTCTGGTGCCTGCTGAGTCTGCCCATGAGTGTGTATTGTGAAGATGATTGGGTGGTGGTGCTCTGACATGGTCTGTAGCTGTCTGCTGGGTGCACTGGCTCTGGGGCTCCCCAGGAGTACAGGCCATGGTCAACTACTACCTGTGCTCTATCTGGGGCCACACAGCATAAAGCTACAAAGCAATCTGCAGATGGTTGCTACTTGTGCTGGGCTTAGAGGTGTCCAAGTGAGGCCGAGCTATGAACCAAGGCCATCTGCTGCTAGTGCTGGGCCTTGGGCCACTTAGCAAAAGATAGAGGGGCTTGCTGAGGCCAGCAGCTGCTTGTTTGAAAGGATTTAGGAAAATCTGAAGCATGAGCCAAGACAAGCTTTTATACGGAAAAGCCACCAGAAACAGCGTGGGTGGGCCCGAAAGGTGTTTGGTGCCAAGCCTCAGGGAATCACCAGGGCATGGCAAATAGTGCAAGCCAGGTTGTTAAGAGTCTCAGATATGGCACCCCACCCGCCTGCTCTCTGGGGGAGTTTCATTAAAGAAACAATGGCCTCTGCCAGCACGTCTGTCTGGGAGAAAGCTGCCCCCCCCAGCTCTTGCCCTGATGCCATATACTCCATCTCATCCTCGGTTGCCTCTGGTGCCTCCTAGGCTGCCTCCCTGGTGCTGGAGCTCAGGAGTGAGTCTGAGTAAGTCCATGTGTGGGCCCTTTAAGAGGAACTTCCAGGGATTCCAGCAGTTTCTGTTTTCCTCAGCTTCAATCTCCACTGGTTTTTGCAGCCAGAAGTTATGGGGACTTTTCTTTCTGGTGCTGGAACCCTGGGCTGGGGGGCCTGGTGTGGGGCTGGGACCCCTTGTTCCCCAGATAGTTCTGCCAATTTTTAATCACCATGGGTGGGTGTAGGACCAGCTTGTTCTGTGTCTCTGCCCCTTCTAGTACTGTTGATGTGGCTTTTTCTTGAATTCTCTAGTTGTAATTCGACTTGATTTCCAGTGGTTCTAAGTAATGGTGGTTCCGTAGTTTAGTTGTAACTTTGGTGTGGCTGTGCTATGTTTATCCAGGCTGCTGCCTTAGCTTTCTTAGTATCTGTTTGGGTTTCTGTAATCACTATATGTTCTATTTATAATTTTGATTATTATGTTTTCTAATTCATCTGGAAACATTTTGGTCATTATTTCTTCAAATATTTCTTCAGCTCTTTTCTCTCTTCTAGGGTTCCAATTACATGTCTGTTATGCTGTTCACTGTTTGTTTTTTTACTTATTTTTTTCATTGCATTTTCAGTTTGCATGATTTTTATCCCCCATCATCAGGTTTACTGATCCTTTCCTAGGCAATAGGTGTTCCTGTTGAAGAGCCTGCCCAGCGCATTCTGTCTGTTACTACGATTTTGTTTTTTAGCATGTCCAGTTGGTCCTCTTTCTGTTGTGTCTCTGCTGAAATTACCTCTCTGTTCTTGCATGTTCACCTTTTTCAATAGAACCTTTAACATTTTAATAATGGTTAATTTAAAGGCCCGAACTTTTAGTTCCAACATCTGTTTATGTTGAGTGTGGTTCTGATGATTGCTTTGTCTCGGAAGCACAAAAAAGCCATCATTCTGCTGTCTGTCCCGCTTTTTTCTTCCCGTAGGCTTAGGGGCTACATTTTCCCACCTCCGTCTATCCCTGAGCTGCAACTGGGAGTCCTGTAATTCATCTGCATAGCCAGTGGTCGTTTAATACAAATAGATAGCTAGTTGTTCAGACACAATAAGTTGAGTAAAAACTCATTTTTCCTTCCCGATAATTGTCACCTTTATTATCTACCACTTTATAAATTTAATTGTCTTTTTTGTCACATATCTTTTTTCCCATCCAGTGCTGAATTTCTCCACATACATGGGTCTGTTGGGGGACTTGTTCTTCTCAGTCCTGTTCTCAAGCCACGTTATTTTAGTCCTCCATTTGTAATGTTCTGATGTTCAGTAGTGTACCTTCTCCTTCGTTGTTCTTCATTTTTAAGAATTGACTTGGCTTTTTGTAAAGATTTTTGCTTTCAGATTAATTAGAGCTACCTTGTCAAGATTCTAGAAATTTCATAGGATCTAGTTGAAATTACACTGGATTTGTAAGTGAAATGATAAGTAGTGTTGGCATCTTTTCAATATTGAATCTTCCTATTAAATAACTTTATATGTATATTTTTCAGGTCCTTATTTATATTAAAGCTTAAAATTTTTCTTTATAATGTGCTTACACGTGTGTTGAAGCCCACCAACCAGAATGTACCAGGGGCGCACTCATAGTAAACCGAAGTTGGGTTTTTTACCTTGCTGCAGTGAGGGGAAATACACCCAGAAGACTGTGGGAGGATTTCTCGTAGGATTTGGTTTTGTGGTGCATAATCCAAAGGGAGATGAAGGCAGCAGAAGCCAGTTTGGGATACTTATCCCTGTGGCAGAGTATGAGCATCTTAGCTCAGGTGTGCATACGTGATAGGCTGTGTCCTCTCCTCAATTAAAAATGACTGGTTAAAATGAAATCCTGCCCCTCACAGCAATATTGAGTATTACGTGCTCTAATGTGCAGAATGCTCATAACTCCTTTGTACCCATAACAAAGTGAGCGCGGTGGTCTCTGAGCAGCAGAACACGAGTGGAACCCAGATCTCCTTCTGAGGCCGTAGTTTTCCCTTTGTATCAACGTGGATGTTGAGTGAAACTTCTTTTGTGTTTTTCTCCTCTTTAGCAAAACCCTTTATACGACACACAGAGGTGCAAGGTGTTCCAGTGTGATCTGACTGAAGAGGACCTCCTGGAGCACGTGCCCCCAGAGTCCGTGGATGTGGTCATGTTGATATTCGTGCTCTCTGCTGTTCACCCTGAGAAGATGCACCTTGTCTTACGGAACATTCACAAGGTTAGTGGTTTGGAGCCCGCACTGGAGGGGCCGGACAGCCCGGTCTTCTTGCTTCCCTTCCCTCCAAGGATCCTGTACTGTCCAGATTGAAGAGCCCCCGCTCTCACTAGGTAGGCTGGGTAGTCAGTGTGGAGAGGGATTCTCCTGCATGAAACATCCGCCCTAACCTTTGATTTGTCTGGGGGCCACTGCCACTCTTCGGAGCTCGGCCAGCCCTGGACCAAGGATGACTTTTACAGACACAGATGACCAGTGGTAACCCTGCAGCTCACCGGGGAGGCACCCAAGTACAAGTGTGCGTCACCCAGAAAGCCCGTATGCGTCACCTGTTGAGTGAGTCAGTCTGCTTTACAAAGGGAGAAGAAAGCATTCAGCAAGTTGAAAAGGTGAATGTTAGGTAAGAGAGAGTCTGTGTTTTTAAAGCTATACATTAAAATTTAACCCTGGTTTTAATTATTTTAAAAGAGTAGTGAGGTAGAAATTTTAAGACACTGGAAACTTGTTAGGGAATAATTGTTCCCACTTAAAACAGTATTTTAAAGCATGTTCAGGTATTGCCATGTTGGTTTTAGCCCTCTGAGGTTTCTTAAGGTTTTTTTCCTCCTTAACCTCTCCTTTCCCTGCCCCTGGTATCTGAATACATGAGAACCCAGCATGTGCCAGTAAATGGGCATGGAACTCAACCCGAGTTAAGAGGGAAGAGATAGTAGGATCACCTGATTTGAAGGCCCTGCTGAAGGTAAGGGATTATTAAAGATGGGGAACTAGAGAGAGTGAAAAAGATGGTGGGGCGGCCAGAGAGCGCCCTGGGTGACAGAGAGAAAAAGGGGGGTTAACATTTTCCAGTGCTGCCAAGGCCCCGGGCCATTACCGGGGGAGTGAGTAGTTTCGGTGGGGGTGCACAGGTCTTTGGAGGAGAAGCTCAAGTCCCTACAAAGCCAGCATGTTCGGAAGGGTAATCCTCATGGATATTGAAATTAACCAGAATTACAAATGGAACAGTATTGAGAATAAGAGAGTAAACCACAAGGTACATCTATCATGAAATGAAGGGACATGGCCTGGAACCAACAGATAGCAGTAACAGTAAGGGATGGTGGATGGTATAACCTGATGCCCAGAGCTGGGGTGGTCAGGGATGAGAAAGAAGGCACAGAGGAGCAGTGAGGAGCAAGGGTGGAGCCAGTCAGGTCCGCAAGCCCAGGGGTACCAGGGCCATGGGAGAAAGCAGCCGTGACTTGAGAGGTTGCAGGGAAAACGGTGTCATCAGGGGACAGTCAGGTTTCTGTGAGCACATGAATGAAGGGGACATTCAGAAGAGGCTGTGGATACTAGTGGTTTCACTGATGAAGGTCCCCGGGGTTAGGAAGAAGTTAGGGCAGAGTAAGGAATATCGGGAACTTTATGAGGATGCCCACTACCGTTCATCATTATCCTGAAGGACCTAGTCAGCTCAGAAAGACAAATAACGGTTTAAGGATTACAAAACACATTATTTTCAGATAATGTAGTTGCCTAAATACAAAATATTAAAAGGATTACAAAAGCTGTTGTAAGGTAGATCTAATTACTCCAGGATGTTAACACCAGAGAAATTTAAAAACCACATAATTTCAAACTGAAAGAAAACCTTAAAGTTGAATTCCCTCATTTCTGGAGTGGAATGATGAATAAATTTAGACCAAATTTCATCAGAAGACCCAGATTCTGGTCTACCCTGTACCACTGACTCTCCTTGAAACCTCAGGCAACTCATTTCTACTCCGAGTCTCAGTGCTTGTGAAGTAGGTACAGTGGAGCTCACCCGCCCGCTCCGAGTTATTGGAGGCGTGAGAGAACCCAGCACTGAGAAATGCCCGGTTCACCAGCTGTACAGTGCCATGATCATGGGAGGCGTTGGCATCGTCACTGCCACTTTACAGATGGGAAACGTACCCAGAGGGATAAAATTACTTGTCAGGGCCGTTCAGCCAGCTCGAGGAGGAGGTGCGGTGCGAACCAGGACTGCTGAATTCCCCAGTGAGCGTTCCTTCTGCTGGCCCACGCGGCTTCCGTTCCCTGCTTCCGAAGTAAAGAGTAAGGCCTTCTCACAGGAGCCGATTTTTTCAGAATTTTCCCCTGTCACTTACTCATAACTTAAAACTTAGCATTTTTGACCAAGGTAAGAAATTTCTATCCAAGAGGTTCTTTACTGACAATATTTAAAATGCATGCTAGTATTGACAAGAATTTACTAAATGAGAGAATCTGTTAGCACACTTGAAAATATGTATCATGGACAATACTTTACATTTCTGTTCAGAAAGGAGAACCACATCAAACTATGTCAAATGTCTATTATAATAGGCAGTATATGTCATATGTCTTAAACGATGTCTCACTGATATAATGGGCCAGAGTAGGAGTTAATAAAATGTGTGCCCCCTTTGAAGTCCACTCTAGTTTGGTAATGTTGATGCAGTTTATTTTCACATAAAAAGCAAGCGTCACAGAGTGTACCCCTTTCTTTTCATCCCGAGAAACATGTAGCTATTTCCTTTGTGAAAGGCGTAGTTTTACCCACTCCCTGCCGATCTTTCCTTTCTGCTCGATGACGCCTGTTTCTGATAGGCTGCAGTGGGGCTCCCACTTGGGCCTGGCATTGAAGCCCTTCCCCACCCTCTGCTCCAGCTGGCCCGCTCCGCCTCGCATCAAGAAGTGCAGCACAGTGTGGGGACAGTGCTCGGTTACTCCTCCCCCCCAGAGCCCCCTTTTCTTGTCAGTAGTGTCAGTGGAATTGGAACGACCCCACATGCACACACACATGTCCCGAGGCTAACGGATGTTTCTGGTTCTACAGTGTGATGCTTTATGACCCAAGTGTGAGTCCTGACTCCCCCACTTAATAGCTGATGTGCAATTGTAGGCAAATCACTGAACTCTTCTGATGCCAGTTTCCTCTCCTCACTTGAGGATGATAATCACACTCGTTCCTTCGTCTCTGAGTTGGGTGAAGATCCAGTGAGACAGTGTCTGGGGTGAGCTGTGCAGTGCTAGGCGTGTGTCAGTTATTGCATGGGGGCAAGCTGTACGTAATTCTAGCACAGGGAAACCAGAGCGAGACTCAATGCGGAAAGCCAGGCACAATCAGTAAAAAGTCAAAATGACACCGTATGTTTTTAAAGAGACAGTTGGACCACAGGGTCACGAAATAGGAGATGCTAATGAAATGTTGGGAGAGTGTGCTTTAGTGAGGGTAAGACTGTTTTGTTTAATATCTTTAACATTTTCATTGTTTGACAGCTGGACCTTCCAGAGTGTCTTGTAAGCTCTCAAGAAACGTCTCTTCGTGGGTTCACTGCCAGGCTTGGCTGTGCCTTTGATTAGCAGGCCCTTTCCCTTCACGTTGTGGGGGTTTCAGTCTGATCCCTTTCCTAATGGTCATAGGGCAAGGTCATTTCATCTCTAAACGAGTCAGATTTTTATTTTACAGTAAGCTTTATTCGACTGGGTTCCCAGAGTTATATGCAGCCAACTTTTGCTTTGTAGGTATTAAAACCAGGCAAAAATGTCCTGTTCCGTGACTATGGGCTGTATGATCACGCCATGCTTAGGTTTAAAGCCGGCAGCAAACTCGGAGAAAACTGCTATGTTAGACAAGATGGAACCAGATCGTATTTCTTTACCGATGGTGAGATTAATGGACTCTGTCTGTTTACCTGATCGTGTCCTCGCTGTAACACTGGCTGGGGTGGGGGTGGTGCTGCTTAGTGCACACGCACGAGACCCTGGAACAAGCTCTCTGCCACGTGCCACTTACCTAGCACCTGGGACGGTGTAGGCACTGCCTCTGGCCACGGCGGGCTCGCAGCCTCCTCTGGAGACAGTGCCTCGTTAGCCGGTGAACGGACAGGCTCTGGTCTGCTACACGCACGCGCTCCCGGGGACTGTGCCGGGGAAGGGGCGGGGGCGACTCGGAACCTTCCTCACGTAGTTCAGTCAGGCACGGAGGAAACAGGACAATACATTGCCTCGTAGTCACTCTGCCAGGTCACAGGGAAACATTTTTTTAAGGTTTTATTTATTTTTAGAGAGAGGGGAAGGGAGAAAGAGAAGGAGAGAAACAATGTGAGAGAGAAATATCATTGGTCAGTCGCCTGTCCTCTGCCTCCCCACCCCCCAAACAGGGTCCGAGTGAGCAACCCAGACATGCGCTCGGACCAGGAATCCAACTGGGGACCTTACGGTTTGCAGGACAGTGCCCAGCCAACCGAGCCATACCAGTCAGGGCAAAGAAGCAGTTTTCTATATAAGGGATTGGGTCTGTCTTTAAATGCAGAAATTTTCTTTCGAGGGGTCCTTAAAAAGTCATTTTTTATTTAAAAAAATCCAAGCATGAGTTTTAAGCCTGCTTAATAATCTGGACCATAGATAATTATCTTTTTAAGCTCTTAAAAATGTTTTTATTTCTTGAAATAAAATGTTCTTTTAGATTCTAAATGAAGAATGAGTGAATACCATTCAGATGGCAAACTCATAAAAAACGTCAGGTGAAAATTAAGCATTTGTTTTAAGGTTTCTGATTCATGAGATTTGACGAAACCAGTTGTGAGTAAGTGAGAAGATGCAGTGATGTCTATAAAGTGCTTTTAGCACGGTCTTTGGAGGAATGCTCTTAATGAGAGTGTTTTTGTTCCGTAGTCATTCTGTTTGTTTATTTCACACATAGTGATGTAGTATTGGGGTTAAATTTTTCTCAAGGTCGATCACCAGCAGATGATCCCCCCCACACTGGTCCCAGGTGCTCCTCCTTCGTGCTTAGACAGTGAGGTGCTTGCTGCAGACACGCCGGGCACGTGCACTCTGTGCGAACACAGCCAGCTGGGGTTGCATTGCTTTTCCTTCACACGTTTGCGGCTGGGGACTCGCATGGTGGGCATCGTGCAAGCTGCCCTTAGGCCTCTCTGGTTACCTCTTTAGTTAGGGGTTTTCACTGGAGTGTAAGATGATGAGAAGTAGGTGTGTCACTTTTGAAAACATAACCTTTAAATTTTAGCATTGAAGTTTCCATTACATTAAAAAAATCTGTCTCAGACTTCTGGCCCTCCTTAGCCCACTGCAAAGCAAACATAACGCTGTCAGTACTGAGTGTTGTTGATTTGCTGTCTTACAGAATTCCTGGCTCGGCTCTTCACAGACACAGGTTATGAAGAAGTGGTGAACGAGTATGTGTTTCGTGAAACGGTGAATAGAAAAGAAGGCCTGTGTGTGCCTAGAGTTTTTCTTCAGAGCAAATTCCGAAAGTCTCCAAGGGACCCAGCTCCTGGGACCCTGGGCCTAGGTCACAGGTCCTGACTTTTCACGAGGTCGACTTTATGCCTCCCCTTGAAGAGGAAAGTTTAAGGTCACTCTTATTATTTTGTATATTTTTATATTTTAACTTTTTTAATGAGTATAATTTTTTCATTAAAAAGTAACAAATTGTGTCTGTGTGTAGTATAGAAATATAAAAATCAAATAAAGTTGCAAGATCTGAAAAGTAAAGGAAGTTTTATGGCATAACTTGGCCATGTTGTCCGACCATAAAAGTCCCCGAGGGAAAGCCGCAGGACCCCTCGCCACGAGAGCACTGTCGCTACCACGTGGGCCTGCAGGTCCGACGCGTGCAGCGTGTCAGACGGCCCCGTAGAAAAATGGGGCCAAATAAGATAACTCGTCCGCGTGTATTTTTGGCCTGAAGGTTGTTCTCTTTTTCCAGTGTCTCATATTTGCCCATTTTTCTCTACTTCAGTTCATTCCTGGGCCTCTTCAAGCCCAGTGTTTCACAAATGCCACTCTTGCTGTGTCAACCACTGTGGCGCCCCTCCCAATTCCTGAGACCTCTGTAATTGGGCCAGTCCCTGCCCCAAGGGGGAGGGAGAGCAGGGAAGCCCACCCCCCACCCCGTCGTCTGCCGATGCCGTTTCTGCAGAAGCGCGGTAGATGGACTGTCCCATCTCCCTGAAGAGGAATGAGGACGCAGTGGTCGGGGCAAATGACTGGCATGGCCGAAAGCACACGGCCCACACTGGGTGGACTCGGGGGAGATCCTGAACTGGTCTGCGGACCTGTTCACCTGCGTTCTCATGTAATGACTTTTACTTTATGAGGTAGAATCCAGGATCTTGGGGGCTGCTAACAAACGGTGGCCCTGTAAGCCTCTATGTCCCACTTTTTGGAGAAAGCTGTGCAGGAGAGCATCTGTCGAGCACACAGACTGAGTGGCACATGCAGAAGGCTGGGCCCTTCCACCCCAGCCGGCCACGCCTGGAGAGGAGGGTCCCAGTGGGAGGGGCCGGCCAGTCGTCAGAGCCGCTCTGCACAGTCAGAATGAACCTGGTGAGAAGAGGGAGAGGCAGTGGAGCTCAGTGTGCTTGCTGGTGTCCTGATGCTGCCCGTCCTTGACTTCCTAGGAGGGGCCTACGGAGCGGGGAAGCAGGAGGAAGTCCTGTCATCTTGTGGTCTCTTGCTTTATAGATTATCTCCCCTTCTTTTGAAGGCTGGAAGGTGGCTGTACTAGGTGAGAAGCAAAACCGGTAACAGCACAGAGTTTGCCCTTTGTAGTGTGTTTTTCTTTGGAATCAACATGTAAAGAAGATGGGCCTGTAGGGAAGATGCTCGCGGGCCCTCCAGACTGGAGTCCAACCTTGCCTCAGAGCAGTCTGTTAGGGGGAGCCAGGGCCAGGCCACGCTCTGCACTGCCAGGGCTGGACTCTGTCCTCTGAGCCCCCTCCACCAAGTGACTCCTGCCCCCAGCCTCGGCCTCAGAACTGCCCAGTGCCCTCTCCACAAAAGTCCTCTCGCCTATTTCTTCCATTAGTTCTGGCCAGCATTGCTTGGATTTTAGTGGCCAAGTGGGAAAAAACAGGATATTTGAAGTAGAAAGTAGAGAGCAGTATAGTAGTGTAAGATAAGCCTGGGCTTTTGGTATCAAGTCACTTGGAATTGTGACCACATCACTTGTAAAACGGGATAGCTGTACCGTTTCCTGGAAGATGGGGTATGGGGGTGGGGAGACAGAGGCAGAGTTCAGGTGGGCTTCTCTCAAGCTTGGTTCCTAACAGGCCCAGACCAGGGACCGCTACCGGGGGTTGGGGGCCTCTGTACTCGGGCAGCCTATATGCCTGAGAGGCAGGAGGGAAGAAAGCTGAATAGGCTGACAAGCACCCTGGCCTGAAGAAAAGGCCTCTCTACCTTTGCCAGTAGTTGAGGGGACACCTGCGAATGAGGCCAACGGTTTTCTCCAAACAACTTGGAGTTGTCTCGATTCACAGGAGCAGTTACGGCCCCAAATTCCTACCCCATAAAGGAAAGCCTGTAAGTTTTCGCTTGGAATTTTTTTTTTCTTTTAAATTTTTTAATTGATTATGCTGTTACAGTTGTTCTATTCCCCCCTTCATTCCCCTCTACCCTACCCCCCATCCCCACCGTTATCCCCCCTTTAGTTTATGACCATGTGTCTCAATTCCTTTAGATTCTATATTTCCCATGCTATTCTTGCCCCCCCATCTATTTTCTATCTACTGTCTATGCTACTTATTTTCTGTACCTTCTCCCCCCTTCTCCTCCTCCCAATCCCCTGTTGCTAACCCTCCTTGAGATCTTCATTTCTATGTTTCCACTTCTGATCTAGCTGTCCTTTTAGTTTGCTTTTGTTTTAGGTGTGGTTGTTAATAACTGTGAGTTTGTTGTCCTTTCACTGTTCATGTTTCTTTATCTTCTTTTTCTTAGATAAGTCCCTTTAACATTTCATATAATAAGGGCTTGGTGATGATGAACTCCTTGAATTTGATCTTATCTGAGAAGCACCTTATCTGTCCTTCCATTCTAAATGAAAGTTTTGCTGGATAGAGCAATCTTGGTTGTAGGTTTTTGGATTTCATGACTTGGAATACCTTTTTCCAGCCCCTTCTTGCCTGTAAGGTCTCTTTTGAGAAATCTGCTGACAGTCTGATGGGGACTCCTTTGTAGGTGACTGTCCCCTTAGCTCTTGCTGCTTCTAGGATTCTCTCCTTCATTTTAATTTTGGCTAATGTAATGATGATGTGCCTTGGTGTGTTCCTTCTTGGGTCCAACTTCTTTGGTACTCTCTGAGCTTCCTGGATTTCCTGAAAGTCTATTTCCTTTGCCAGATTGGGGAAATTCTCCTTTATTATTTGTTCAAATAAGTTTTCCATTGGTGGCTGTGCCTTTCCCCCTTCTGGTACCCCTATAATTCGGATGTTGGAGCGTTTAAAGATGTCCTGGAGGTTCCTAAGACTCTCCTCATTTCTTTGAATTCTTGCTTCTTGACTCTTTTCTGTTTGGCCATTATTTGCTTTCTTCTGGTCCACTCCATTGATTTGAGTCCCAGTTTCTTTTTCATTGCTATTGGTGTCCTGTGCAATTCCATTCATTTCAATTAGTTTCGCCTTCATATATTTGTCTAATTTGTCGGTATAATCAACCAGTTCTGTGAGGATCCTGATGACCAGTGTTTTAAACTGTGCGTCTGAGAGTTTTGCTATTTCTTCATCGCTTAGATCTATGGGCTCTGGGGCTTTGAGATATTCTTGCGACATTTTTGGTCTGTTCTGGTCCTTTAAGTGTGAGAAGCGGTGCCTTGGACTCCCAGGTCGCTGGGTTGTGACGCTAGATGTGGGGGCGTGGTCAGAGCGGGGAAATGGCGACCCCCTCTGCTGCTTCTCACAGCTGGGTGCGGAGGAGCAGTGCCTTAGGTGGTTCACCAGGGCAGGGCCACTCAGAGTCGCTGGGTTATGATGCTGTATTTGGAGGTGGGGTCAGAGCAGGGAAATGGCGGCACCCTCCAGTGCCACTTGCCGCAGGGACCCGCCGGACCCCAGTCCAACTGCTCACTCCCTCGCCTGTCCACCTGCGCACAAATGCGCGATCACAGTCAACACACAGCACCGCTCCCCCGCTGTCTCCCCCGCGGTCGCTTGCCTGGTGGCTCGCTGGGTCGCTCACTAGGTCCAACCCTGCGCCTGGATTCTGCGCCTGAGTCCGGCTGACCGAGACCTTTGCAATCCCGCTTCACCAGCCGCTGGTTTCGCCCCTTACCGGTCAGGCTGAAGAATTTGTTGTTAACGGACTTCTGAAAAGTTCAATTTTCCGTGTTCTGGCTGTGTTTTCTGTTGCTAATATTTAGTTGTCTCTAAACTTGGTTGTGTGAGAAGGCACGGCACATCCACCTATACCTCCATCTTGGCGGAAGTCTTCATAACTTCTTAATTTAGCCTGTCAGCTTATATTCTCCTGGGGTTTTTGACTCCTCAGCCTGGAAATGCCCCTCCAGGTCCTGGTGCGGCCACCTGTTTGCTTGCTTGGAATTTTTAAAGCAGGCCTAACGATGTGCCCACCCCTGACACTGAGCAGGATAACCTCTCAGTGACCCCACTTTAACATGTATTGGTTGTGCCCTGGCCAGAGTGGCTCAGCTGGTAGGAGTGTCATCCTGTAAACTGAAAGGTCGTGGGTACCCTTGTAGCTAAATGAATGAGGTGACAAAGTCCGTCGGGAAACCGGGTGAAGGAGCGAACACCAAAAAGGCTGAGCATTACGAACACATGGCTTCTGTCCCGCTGCCACGGTGCCCTTGTGTCCGTTCTCCCCAGGCACACCTCCGTGGTGGCCCCTCAGATTTAAGACAGCGGGGAAGTACCGTCTCCCACTAGGGTGGGTCCCTAGGGACCCAGGAACGCAAGGACACAGTTTACTAGCAGAACTCTGTAACAGCACTCGATGAATCAGACTATCGTTCACCAGCATTGCTTGTCTTCACAGACAGAAAGCGGCCCCAGAAAGGTGGTGCATACTGGGCGGCATTACCATAGAAAAGAGCGTAAGTACTATAGTACCATACAGTGTGGTGTGTGCACCATATAGTGTTAACACAGACTGTGTATGCTATAGAGTATGCAGTAAATCCCACAGCATGCATCCTCTACTATACTATAATATGTAGTTCTATGTACTTCTGTTCAGTTTTTTTAATATATACTGTATGGTATGGTACAATAATAATAAATTACAGAATTGGGAGTGTGGACATCTGGGTTCCAGGCCAGGACTTGACTAATTCAGGTCTCCACATTCTCAGAGCCTCAGTCTTGCACATCTCCAAGGCTGAGTGACATCCTGCCACCTATGGCCTGGGGCTGCTGCCAAGATTAAATCACGTGGGAGCGCTTTATTTACTACAGAGTGCTAGTCAAGTGTTAGTTATTTCTATTCGTTTGTATTCTCCAAGGAAATGACCTCTGCCTTGATTGTCATTAAATCCAAACTGCTCAGGAGGGCTGTCATTTTTTAAATCACAGCGTCCTTAAAAGGGCCCGGGATTTGGGTGTGTCACCAGCAGGTGGCGCTAGATGCCAAATATGCCCATTGGCCTGAGCTCCCGTCTTAGTTACAGTTCAGCATGTCCATTTTTATTGTCATTGAAGACAAAAGAGAATGCTCACAAATGTGTTTTCCAGGTTATCCTTAGGTCATAATATCAGTCTTG